TGAGTATAAGGACCTCCATGCCTCCTGCACCTTCTCCGATTGAACTCAAGTCATCAGACTTGCAGCAACACCCTTCCCTGCTCAGCCATCTCACTGGCCCCTTCCTTTTAAAATGCTTATCTGGCCGGGCATGGTGGCACACGCCTTTGATCCCAGCACTCGGGAGGTAGAGGCAGGTGGATCTCTGCGTGTTCGAGGCCAGCCTGGTCTATAAATCGAGTCCAGCACAGCCAACATTACACAGAGAAACCCTGTCTCAAAAACTAAACACACACACACACACACACACACACACACACACACACACAAAAACACATATGACTATCTATCTATCTAATTTATTTTGTGTATATGTATCTGTGTGTGCAGGTACATGCCTGTGTATGAAAATGGAGGCCAGAAGAGTTTATTAAAGTTACTTACAGGGGTACGGGCAAAGAGTTACTTACCCTTCTTCACTTATTGAGGCAGGGTCTCATTGAATTTCCCAGGCGGGCCTCACATTCACTCTGTAGGCCAGCTAAGAAGCTGTGATTATCCTGTCTCAGCTTCTTCAGTAACCGTGACCACAGGGCTGAGCTGCTGAGCCTGCTTAAATTCAGTTTCCTAAATGAAGATTCCTCTAGCCAAGACTATTTAGCCAATGGGCAAAACAGACAACCACCCCAAAAAAAAAATCTTAAGTTTATTATTATTACTATTATTATTTATTTTATTTGTTTATTTTTTTGAAACAGGATTTCTCCGTGTAACAACTTTGGCTGTCCCAGAGCTTCTGTAATCCAGGCTGGCTTTGAACTCAAAGAGAACAATCTGCCTCCCTTCCGTGCGCTAGGATTAAAGGCATGTGCCACCACACCCAGTTTAAATTTTTTGCTTTGTTTTGTTTTGTTTTTAGCTTTATTGAGACAGGGTTTCTCTGTGTAGCTTTGACCGTCCTGGACTCAATTTGTAAACCAGGCTGGCCTCGAACTCACAGATACCTGGCTGGTCTCTGCCTTCCCAAGTGCGTGCACACCTCGCTAGCTTCAGTTTAAATCTTTTCTGTTGTTATTTTGTTTTCTAAGACAGGGTTTCTCTATGTACACCAGGCTGACTCAGACCCACAGAGATGTGCCTGCCTTTGCCTCCCAAGCAATGGTACTAAAGGCATGCGCCGTCACCACCCAGCTTCCAGCCTAAATCTTAGGTTTAGCAGACAGACTTTTCTGCATTTTTTTTCTCTCTTACCTGCCCCCTACCCACCCACTAGTGCCTTGAATGTTTATCTGGCTGTGGAGACCAGGCTGTACCCAGCTCTAAGTTTCACTCCACATTATGTGAAACAGTGGCTTGCTAGCCAAACGTCGCCCTAGGTGACTCCAGCTTTCACAGCAGCAGCTGGCTTTATAGTCAGTGTAAACACAGATGCAGAATGACTTTATATTTTTTGTTTGTGCATGTAGATTACAACATCTGTCTAGGCACCAACCATGATACACAGACTGATAGACATCTTATTCCTGCAAGGAAAAAATTACCACCTATGACCTTATCCAAGTGGAGTGAGAACATGTAGGCTCATGGGTGTTTTAAAACCATATCAGAAACTCCAGGACTAAGAACTTTTTGTTGCTGTTGTTGCTCTTTTGAGAAGGTGTGTGTGTGTGTGTGTGGAGGTGTGGGTGGGTGGGTGGTGTCTCACTATGAAACCTTGGCTGGCCTGGAAATACACAGCCTCAAACTCAGAGATCCTCCTGCCTCTGCTTCTGAAGTGCTGAGATTGAAGGAAAGTGCCACCACGCCCAGCCCCTTGAGAACTTCTCAGAACATTCTAGACCAATGAGGGGTGCAATACCCTCACCTGGGTCCCCTAAAATGAACACCTAACAGCCCAATGGTAACAGCTCCATTGACCTTTTAGTGATCAGTCACCCAGTCATGGAGTACATGTGTCAAGGAACCAACAGAGAACTCACTATTCTCAAGGCTTTAGCTCACAAGGTTCCTCTACTTAACCTGGCCCATTCAAATTGCCATATCTCTGTTTATCCATACCTAAGATGGCGCTATGCCTCTGCAGCTGGACTCTTAAGAAACTCCAGCAGCCCTCCAACTGTGTTCATTAGTATTATATATATCAAAGTAACTCCTTGCATCTGTTTTAGCTTCCCACCTCTCCTTTCAGCAAGGCTTTTTTGAACTCTGTAGCCTCTTAAATTATTTTGTAGTCATTCTGTTGCCTACATAATACATTTTGTGTGCATGTATATTTATGTATATTGACACATTTATTATATTTATAAACTTACATTTACACATGTATATTATTATGTGTAGGTAAGAGATCTGGAAGTAATATTAGTAATTAAGATTAGAATCCTGGGCTCGAGCTATAGCTCAGAGGGGACAGTGCTTGCCTAGCATGCATGCTTGGGTTCAATCCCCACCACTGTATAAACCAAACATGATGGTACAAACCTGTACTTCCAGAATGGTGGCAGGACCATCTGAAGTTCAAAGATGTCTTCAGCTGTGTAGTGATCTGGAGGCCAACCTGGGCTACATGAGACCCTTATAACAGGCCTTCAGACCTTAGCACAACTGGCTCCATGGTGGAAGTACCATTTAGGCTCTAAAACTCTGCACATAGTCAGCACCACCTGACAAAACTAAAACAAAGACCTAATCCATCAAAGTCCATAGTTGTTGGGAAGAACCTAAATGTACAGACCCTGCTTTTCGGCTTCTGTAGTTTTGCTTCTGACTAACTGTTCTTGTTAACTGCAGTATGTCAACCCAGAACATTTTTAGAAATTTACCTTTATTTTATGTGCATTGGTGCTTTGTCTACAGGTAGGTCTATGTGAGAGTATCAGATCTTGGAGTTACAGACAGTTATGAGCTGCCATGTGGATGTTGGAATTTAAACCCAGGGTCCTCTTTTTTTTTAATTTATTTAATTTTATATTATGTGCATTAGTATGAAGGTGTTAGATCCCTTGGAATTGGCTGTACAGATGGTTGTAGGTGCTGGGAATTAAACCCGGGTCCTTTCGAAGAGAAGACAGTGGTCTTAACCACTAAGCCATCTCTCCTGCCCTGCCCTAGGGTCCTCTTGAAGAGCAGTCAGTGTCCCCAACCGCTGAGCCATCTCTCTAGCCCCAGAACATGGTTTTTGTGCTTAAAAGCTCACCCCAAGAAAGGCTCAGAGCTACACTGGAATCCTGAACACCCAATGTAGTTGCTGGGCAGCTAATAAAGACTTTCTATTGGCTTAAAACCCGTGTCTGAGAAGTGTTCTTTGGTGGCTACCCCCCAACATGCTCAAAAAAAAAAAAAAAAAAAAAAAAAAAGGAAGAGAAAACAAATAGCCAAGAGTGAAAGAATCTGTGGCTGGGTGCTGGAGAGAGCAGCGGCGGGTACCCACGGCTCTTGCAGTGGGCCCTGTTTCAGTTCCCAGCACCAGCACAACAGCTCACAACTGTGTGTAACTCCAGTTCCAGGGGATCTGATTTCTTCTGGCCTCTGTAGAAACAACACACATCTGTGGGGTGCATATACATACATGCAGACAAAGCACTCACACATATGAATCTAAAAAGAGCGTAGGACCACCAGAAGAAGGAAAGCCAGGTCTGCTTAGAGTCCCTGTCTCAAAAGCCAAGCTGACATAGCTTGTGAATTTACTGGTATTCAATACATTTTGACATTGTAGAAATATACAAATGTGTCCATCATGTTTCTGGCATGGCATGCTCATGGCACTTACAAGAGAACGATTGGATACTGTTTATGGGAAATTGTCCTCCGAACAGTGCTGAAGAATCCAGAGTGTATTGTGTATGTGATCAACTATTTTTGTCTTGGGAATCCCACGGTACCTAAGTTAAATTAACTGAAACATTTTTAATGTAAAGGAACCAATTCTATGCCAAGATAGTTAAAACAGGATCAGTTATATATATCCTCTTCTTGTATCTCTACTCAAAACGGGTTTTTTTTTTCAATTTTTAATTAAAAGCATGTGTGTGCATGTGAGTGCAGGTGCCCTAGGAGACCTGAGGTGTTGAATGGCCTTAGAGCTGCAGTTACAGGGAGTTGTAAGCCATCTGACATGAGCGCTGGGAATAGAACTTGTGTCCTCTGGGAGAACTGTATACACTCTTAACCAATGAGTCATTCTTTAAGTCCAAATACACTTCTCCACACGCCAATTTCTAAGTTTACTATCCCTGCAGATTTAGGGACACACAATCTCAAGCCTAGGCATGTGGTTAAGAAACCTCAGGACACAGCCAGATTCTAATTAGTGTTGGAGTATGGACAAGTTGGCCTGCCCAGTAAGAGGTGATGGAAGGTTCTTGAATCTTGCAAAACATCCAGTTCAGGTCAGGTGCACGCTGGAAAGATTCCATAGAAAGCACAGTAGAAAAAGGTCACTCAGGGCCTTCTCCACTTTCACTGCAGACAGTGAGAAAGGTCGGCCTCTGGTGGTCAGGCCCGAAATTGCTTTTACTTTTTATTTTTATTTTTTGAAGATACAGCCAGGCCATGTAACACGAACACAAGATTATCCCCAGCGATGGGAATACATAGACTTCTTTTAGACATATAGTCTGTAAAAGCTTCTCAAGGCTGAAGGGTTCTGAGAAGGCTGGGCTGCAATCACATTCCCTTTGGGAGACTGGCCTCGGAGCAGATGCATTTTTCATGAAGTCACCCAGTAAAACCAGTAGAGAATTAAGATTTGAACATAGGTTTCTCTGCTTCATGGTTGTGACTCTGAGTGACTCCAGTTCTTTTAAGTAGACACTCAGGAGCATTTGGAGGAAAGAACCTCTCTGAGGTCCCCAGGGGCTGGTAACTGCTTCTCAATGGCGCCTTGGGCGGAAGCTTTAAGGCAAATAGCAACACCAGCGTCTTCCTTCCGGAATCCTGCCCGCTCTAGGGCATCTCGGGAAATGTAGTTCTAGCTTTATTAAGACTGAAGGCTAAGTGCTACGTAGAACTTCATTTCCCGGAAGGCTGCGCGCTCTGTTGCCTGAGCTAGGCGATTATCTGAAGGGCCGAAACGGTCATCTAGGGTTTTTAAGTTCTCAGGAGGAAGGTGTGACGGCGGACTGAGGCTTTTGGCTGCCCGCGGTCTACCTCATCTGGCGGAGCTGGAGGACGAGAGCCTGGCCGTCCATCGAGCGGCCCCACTTCCGGTCGGCGGTCAAAAAACGTAGAGCTCTTCTCCTTTAATTGCGGTGGGCGGGACGTGGCGACGCCACTGGCGTTGCTATTGGCGGCGATTGGGGGCGCGGAAACTGAACTGGCACAACTGCCGCCACAACTATTTCGGGCATTTGGGGTCCCGCTGGTCCTGCCAGCTCCGCCAGCTCCGCCATGACCACCCTCAGTCCGGTAAGTCCCTGAAGAGTGGGTGCCTGACTGGTTGGAACAATGGCCGCGAGAGGGGCGGGTGGTGGCGCAGGGTTCTGCAGTGGCCTCCCCATCAAAGGTTGGGAGTACGGGTATTGACCCAGCGCCCCAAGTGCCAGGCTAGATGCTGGACCACCCGGGCGAACGAGTCCCTGCCTCTGGGCTGTACAGCTTATCGAGGAAGACACAACCAAGGCCGGACCCTTGTTGTGGCCTGGGTGACCAGGGTGAGCCTCGTCAGCCTGCCCTCTTCTGAGCAACGGGTTTTCTTGGAGGTGTCATCCTTTCCAACAGGTAGAAGCAGTAGGCCATTGGGTGGCGGAGCCCTGCAACTGTGACTTGGGGTCTACACTGACCCTCTCCCAGTCCAGAAAAAGGACCCCAAATTGGTCTTTTAAATACGAATTTGCATCCACGGGGCCTGGTGCTCTGAACAGGTGGCCGATGCACCTGAAGACTAGGGTAGAAACAGGACCCCGTCTGCTATTGTTTACAGTTACCCACACACAGTCTTTAGGGGAGGCGAGGCCCGCATGCAGGAAACTGCGCAGGGAAGAGGGCCTTGGGAAGGGGGTCCCACTGATGAGGGCTGGACCTGAACATGCTTCTGTCCATTGAGCCTAAGATGGACACTCCCTCGCCCTTATGTTTCCAAGAGGCTCAGGTGAGAACAGGAGGCAGAATGAGCGCTTGCTACTTAGATGGAGCGCTCCCTCCCCACCTCCGCCCTCAACCACCGCTCCATCTGTTAAAAGGCGTGGTCCTGCTGGAGCATTGTGGGTGGAGCTGGGCACGAGGACTCACCTTTGTTTTGAGTACAGCTTTGTGGAGTAGCAATGGCTTTGCTGTGCCATAGAAATGCCCTTTCCCAAGCTAGCTGGGTTCCTTGGAGATCCTGAAATGTTGTTTTGTTTTTGTTTTGTTTTGTTTTGAGGTGGAAGGAGATAACTATGGATAGGGTATAACTCCTGAAGTCTTTGTATATAGCCTTGGCTAATTTGGGAGCTTACTGTGTAGACCAGACTGGCTTTGAACTCACAGAGATCCGCTTGCCTCTACCTCCCAAGTGCTGGGATTAAAGGCATGGCCACCACACGCAGCCTGCATTTGGTTTGTTTTTCTTGGATTTTTTTTTTTTATTCATCCGTTCATTCTTGGACGTGTGTTTGTTAATTTGTGTACCCTTCCTTGCTGTACTCATTTATTCTGTGTTCAGTGGGTTCCTAGGATTGTCTATATACAAGATCAGGATATGAGTGCTTTTGACATCTCCTGGTTGCAGGAACAGTTGTGGTCCCAGAGAGAAGCCCCTTCTTCTGGCTTTAACTATTTGACCTCATTCTTCCCCAGGAGGACCCCTCACTGGAGAGGCATTTTAAAGGTCACCGAGATGCAGTTACCTGTGTGGACTTCAGTCTCAACACGAAGCAGCTGGGTAAGAGACAGCGTTTGTCTTGTCTCAGGCTCTAGAATCTAAACTAAAAAGGCTGAGTTTCTCACTGGGAGGTGTGGTTGGGAACCCCAGAGTACAGAAAAGGCACGTTGCTTTGTCTAGCCCTTTATTTTGCTACTGCCTGCCAGCCTTCTGGACACCGGGCTTATTAGGCCACATAAGCTCCATTTTGCATGAGAAGAGTATAATGCTTAGAGAGGTTAGGAGCCTTACCAAGGTCACGCAGCCTTTATTTATTTATGTATGTATTTATTTATTTTTCCTTTTATTGAAATTAGATTCTTTTCTCACAAAATGTATCATGATTACATTTTCCCCTCCCTCTACTTCTCCCAGTTCCTTCCCGCCTTCCCTCCTGTCTGGATCCATCCCCTTTCTGTCTCTCATTAGAAAGGAATAGGCAGGGGCTGGAGAGATGACTGATCAATCTGTTAAGAGCACTGACTGCTCTTCCAGGGGACATGGGTTCAATTACCAGCACCCACTTGGCAGCTCACAACTGTCTGTAACTCCAAGATCTGACACCCTCACAGAAACATTCTTTTTTTTTTTTTTTAAGATTTATTTATTATTTATACACCATATCTTACTATAGATGGTTATGAGCCACCATGTGGTTGCTGGGAATTGAACTCAGGACCTTTGGAAGGGGAGCAAGTGTTCTTAACCTCTGAGCCATCTCTCCAGCCCTCACAGAAACATTCTTGCAGGCAAAACCCCAATGCACATAAAATAAAAGTAAATGAAAAAAGAATAGGCTTCGAAGGGATAATTATAAAATATAACAAAATAAAATATAATAAGATAAAAACAATCACATCAGATTTGCACAGACAAACAAACAGAAAGAAAAGAGCCCAAGAGAAGGCACAAGAATCTGAGATCCCACGCTGGAGAGATGGCACAGCAATGAAGAGCACTGGCTGCTTTTCCAGAGGACCTGACCAGGATTCACTTCCCAGCACCCGCATAGCAGCTCACACCTGTCTGTAATTCCAGTTCCAGGGGCTCTGGCACCGTCACATAGATCTACATGCAGGAAAATCATCAAATGCGCATTAAATAAAGAAAAGACTCAGAGACCCACTTCTTTGCATACTTAGGAATCCCATAATGACATTAAATTGGAAGCTATAATAAATACTCAGAGGGGCTGGTGCAGGCCTGGTGCAGGCCTGGTGCAGACCTGTGCAGGCTCTGTGCGTGCTGGCCAGATGGCCTTTAGAGAGGTTAGGGTTTAGGTTTTTCCTTGTACATCCTGGCCACTTCTTGGGTCTGTTCTGTGGCATAGGCCTCAAACTGGCTCCTTTCCGAGTCTTCAGTTTGATTACCCACAGTAATAGGGCACATTTTCTTGTTACAGAGGCCTACTAGTGAGAAAGATGTTGAACAGGGCCCCTTTCCCAATTCCATACCACTGCCTCTTCCTTGTATACACTGACGTTCCTAAATGGACTTTGTAGCTGCAGCTTTCTTTTTCCATGGATTAGGCTTGCCTCTTTATCTTATTGTTGAGGTTTTTGATGTAGTAGTTTGCTATAAACAAAGAAGGGACTCAAGCCATTTTTTATGTCCATTCTCTCCTTAGACTTCTCATTAAGTTTTGTTCTTTTATTTTTATCTCTTATATTTATTTATTATCTCTTATTTATTTATTTATTTTTGTTTTTTGAGGCAGGATTTTTCTATGTAGCTTTGGCTGTCCTGTAGCTCACCAGGCTGGCCTTGAACTCAGAGATCTGCCTGCCTTTGCCTCCCAGGTGCTGAGATAAGGTGTGGCTACCACCTTGCCATTCTTTTATTTTTAGATTGTCATATTTTATGCTCATGGATGTTTTACCTGCATGTGTGTCTGTGCACCACATGTGTGCCTGGTACCCCCAGAGTCTAGAAGAGGACATCAGATCTCCTGCAACTGGAGTTATAGGCTGTTGTGAACCACCATGTGGGTCCTGGGAATTGAACCCAGATCCTCTTGAAGAGCAGTAAGTGCTCTTAATTGCTGAGCCATCTCTGCAGCCCCAAGTCTGTAGGGCCATAACTGTCTAAACTGTAGGTCAGCAGTCCTAGGAGGTATGGCCATCCCAGTGGGATCCTGTCATTGCCCTGTTGGGGATGCCTGTGAAGGTGGAGCTGGGCCTGTTGCTCTCCTGTATCCCTGGCAATGAGGTGGGTGCTCAGGGTTCTTGAGGTCTGAGAATCATCATGTTACCTACTCTCCTCAGCCAGTGGCTCCATGGACTCATGCCTCATGATCTGGAACATGAAGCCCCAATCACGAGCCTACCGCTTCATGGGCCACAAGGATGCTGTGACTTGTGTGAATTTCTCCCCATCGGGACACCTGCTCGCCTCAGGCTCCCGAGACAAGACTGTTCGCATTTGGATACCCAATGTGTGAGTTATGGACTTCAAGGGACTGAGAGCATTGAGGGATTTGGTATAAGAGTATCCCTCCCTGAGTCCTTTTCTTGGCTTTGAGCTGGTCACAGTGGGACATGTGACCTCTGTGGAGCCATCAGAGGCTGGGGCTTCAGTTGGGTTGGGGGCTCTCTCCTTAGGTTGGAAGGACTGCTACCTGCTACCTCATGTGAGCAGCAGCTCACATGAGGGTGGAGGTTAGTGGGGAAGAGCTTTGTTTCTGTTGGAGCCTCTGGCCTCTTTGGGGCGAGACTGGGACAGTCAGGCCCAGAGAGGCGGAGAGAACTTGGGTAGAGTTGTAGGTCCTCATGTTACCATTCTAACTCTCCTGAGTCTGGCTATCTGTCCTCACAGCAAAGGTGAGTCAACTGTGTTTCGTGCACACACGGCCACAGTGAGGAGTGTCCACTTCTGCAGTGATGGCCAGTCGCTTGTGACAGCCTCTGATGACAAGACAGTCAAGGTGTGGTCAACTCATCGCCAGAAATTCCTGTTTTCCCTGAGCCAGCATATCAACTGGGTCCGCTGTGCCAAGTGAGCATTTCCTGTCTGGGGAACCTGGGGGGAAGTAGGGGTTTAGGGGGAATGTCGGCTTGTATCCTTGGACAATCTGCTCAGCCTCCCTTTAATGCATCCCTAAGCCTTGATTTTCTAATCTGTAATGTGTCAACAGCAGTGGTTGCTACATTGAACTTGTTGGGAAGTGTCAATGAGCTCATGTGTTGATACATATTAGTCAGCCGTGACCCTCTGCCAGGTGTGCTGAGTCCCCCAGGACAGCAGCAGCAACAGCAAGGTCCCATCAGTACCACGGTGTAGTTTTTTCTTGTTACTGAGAAGAGTTCTGGGAGCTAGGTAGCATCATTCTCATTTTGCAGAAAAAGAAACAGGCTTAGAACAGGACAGTATCTTGTCCTGGGTCATGCAGTGGGTAAGTAACAGAGCTGGACCTGGGCCCGCATTTCTCTGGCACGTGGGTTTGCCTGCTTTCCTCAGAGCTTAATTGTGCTCCAGAGCTGCCAGGTAGGGAGTTGGTCTGGAGCCTCTGGCTTTAATGTGGGAGGCAGAGCTGTGACGTGGGATGCCTGATGGCTTGAAGAATTGCACAACAGATATTTCCGCGTGTGGCTTCATTAGCCTCTTTCAGCAGAGCTTTCTCATGTCCCAGCTCTGCTCCTGAGGAGGTAGTTAAGGTGGCCAGGAACACTAAGAAATCATGAATGTCAAAGGAGCTCTTTATTCACCTGTTCCATTTGTTGTCTCGTAGGCTTACTGCCTCCATGTGCAAGTCCTGGAAGCTTCTAGTCTCCGTACAATCTAATCTAGGAAGTCTCTGAGGCTTACTGCTGAATAAGCTTACTCTTTCTTATTTTTCCTGAGCTCTGGGCTGGCTGGTTCATCTCAGCTGTTTGGGCTCAGAGTCCTCTCCCAGCTGACTTACACCATCTGGCTTCTCTCTCAACCCCTGAATTGCTCTGTTTGGCTTCAAACTAACTCCAGTAATCTTTTCTAATCCTCTGGCTCCTTCTCATTCTCTAACTTGTTCTCTCATTCAACCTCTGTCTGTAACTCTCCTGGTAAAATGGCCTCCTTTCTCTCTCTGCTTTGCCGTTTAAGTAGCTTCCATTTCCTCTCTCTTCTAGTGAGAGTTGGGTGTATCCTGTTCTCAAATCTTTCTCTCATTTGGTCACCTTTTCTACCACTCAATTAGATATCACTTTCAAACATGGGTGCTTCCTTCTACAAACTAACTTTACCTTCATTGTTTGGGACTAAAGGCATGTAACGCCACGCTTGGACCTAGGCTTTTCTTTACCTGAATCTTGCTCTATTCCAGGCTGGCCTTGAGCTCAGATCTGGTTGCCTCTGTTTCTTGGACTAAAGGTTTGTTTGTATTCTAGTCATACCACATAGACCTAGAATAGAAGGTCTTAGGACGTGATCTCTTGCCAGAGCAGCCATGCTCTGAATTAAAATTTTTCTACACACAAAAGTCAGAGGTTGGGGACCACTGAGTTGTCTTCTTCTGTGGATACCATGGAAGTTATGTATTCCCGAGGACAAAATCATTCTTTATTCTGGGAGGACCCTACCTTGAGAGGTTTTAAGGTCAAGGACCTGAGAACTGAGCGGGGAGGGCAAGCCGCCAAAGTGGGGTATCATGTCCACAGTAGGCCTTGATGGTGGGTCCCAGGACCGCCATGTGTTTTTGTTGGCCCGTTGTGTTTTGCTGACATACTCATGTGGAGCTCCTGACCACCTCCACTCATCAAGCAGCACCAGCTGGGTGGTGCTGGGTATTGTTGGAGGCCATATGCCTCCTGTGGTATTCTGTGCATTGTGCTACTGTGCGATTACTGTGTGTGGACCCTGTGGAGGATGGATCTCACAGAGAGGGAGGCCACTTGCCCAGGATCACTCAAGGTTTCATATGTAACCATAGGCAGTTCCTGGGTCAGGCAGCTGGGTCTAGTGGTGAATACCTATAGTCTCAGGACTCCAGAGGCCGAGGCAGGAGGATTGCCACAGTTTAAGGCCATTGCAGGCCAGCCAGGGCTACATGGTGAGACCCTGTGTCAAAGTAACAACAACAATACAAAAAACCTTAGGTGCCCAAAGGGTTCCTGGGTCAGGCGGTAGACCTGGAAGAGACGCCTGTGGAGAACATAGTGTACTATTCCAGGAGTCTGTTATAAGTGTGACTTATGTCCTGTTCAACTTAGGTTCTCCCCTGATGGGCGGCTAATCGTGTCTGCCAGTGATGACAAGACTGTCAAGCTGTGGGACAAGACCAGCCGGGAGTGTGTCCACTCATACTGTGAGCATGGCGGGTGAGTCCCTGTTGTCCTCCATCTTCAGGTGCTCCTGCACAGAGTGTAGGTCAAGACATGAGGAGGCCCCAGTGGCTGTCAGGGGCTGGAGCTGTGCAGGTGGCAGCCCTGCTTGCTGCTCTTTGGTGGCGTGCCTTTTGTATGAGCCTTTACCTTTTGCTTTGTGGGTGGAGAGTTAAGCCCTGTCTCCACCCCGAAGACAACAGAAACACTTCCCCTAAAATCATGCAATAATTGGGTCTCTTTTCTCCCCCTTTAGTTTCTAGTTTTCATAATTGTGTGTCTCTGAGCACTGAATCAGCCCCCTAAACTGCATGTTAAAACTTATCGTCACCCATGGTGCTATTTATGAATGAAAGCCTCAGGTTCTTAAGCTGGTACTGGCTCTTCATTCTGTGCCCCATTAGACATGGAGAGTGGGAGGAGCCTGCCTCTGAGCAGGGATTCAGCTTTTATAAGTGTCTAAGCACACTGCGGTTTCACTCCTTATTCCTTAAGCTGGGACTCACAGGCAAGGGCCCCTCCAGAGTGCCTGACTACCGTGTATATGCGTAAAAGGCTCTTGGCCTGTGTTCTAGAGATAAATGGAGGAGCAGCTCTTGAGGCCTGCTGGGCCTTCCTACCTATGCCTCAGTTGACAGGACCTGTCTTGGAGCCAGCCCCGCGGGGCTAAGAACCCCAGAGCAATTGACTGACTTTTTGGTCTGAAGATAGCTGTCCCCAGTTGTACTTAAAAATCAGCAGTGGGCTGGGCATGCTTACTCACCCTTGTAATCTTACTACTGAGCACAGAAGGTGGAAGGTCAGTCTGGGCTACAAAGTGAATAGTGAGATGTCTCAAAAAGCATAAAGCGAGAAGGAAGGGAGGGAGGGACATAGTCCCTGATAAATCACCTACTGTCACCTACTTGGTGTTTCTTGGCTATCTGATAAAGGGAACAGACACAGAGAGATAAGACACTTGTGGGTCCATCCAAACCAAGGAAGATCTCTCATGGCCCTCGACTGTTCCTGTCTTTCAGCTTTGTCACCTTTGTGGACTTCCACCCCAGTGGTACCTGCATCGCTGCTGCTGGCATGGACAACACAGTGAAGGTGTGGGATGTGCGGACCCACCGGCTGTTGCAGCATTATCAGCGTGAGTGGTGAACAGCACACCAGACCACAAGCAGCCGCGGCGAGGCTGGGCTGGTGCCAGCAATGGTTCATTGCTGTGGTGCTTCAGTAGGCCCAAGGACAGCCCTGAGCTGGGAGGAGTCCTGTGGCTGTTGGGTTAACCAGGATGAACAGTTGGTGGTGTAGCCATCTTGTCTTAGAATGTTGGTCAGGTCCCTGTTATGAGATAGCAGAGTCTCACACACACTGTAGCTGGGGAGTCTTTGGTAGATTTCTTGCTGGAACTGTTCCTAAGGTCTTCTTCTTGAGAGTCCCCATACTACTCATTTCTCCCTGTGACAGAGGTAATTTTCCAGGGTCAAGGAGACAGGGCTGCCCATAGCAGTCATTGTTAGTAGGACCTTGGCCTCGTGCTATCCTCCAGAGGTCTGCCTTGAGCCATGAGCCACACAGAAAGTTGACGTTAGGTGGAGGCCAGGCTTTGTTTCCAGGCCTAGGCCTATAGTCCCTTATTTAACTGTCACCTTTGGATGGCAGAGCAGTGGGGAGTGGACATTGGTTTTGGAGCAGTCTTTAGCACTCTTTATCCCATACCCCCAAAAGCCCTTTCTCGGTTGCTTCTCTGGGAGGGCAGCACTTCTTGGGTAACTGAGGTGAACAAGAATGGGACAGGGCAGCGTGGCGTGTGGGCTCTGTAGCCAGCATTCAGGAGTGCTCAGCATGCTCAGTTGTGCCACACTAGGCGGGTCACTTGATTCCTCTGAGCTCTTGGAACAGTGGTAGCGCTCACCCCACAGGTGGCAGGACAGTTAGTTGATGCTAAGAATGGAGAGTGTGGGGCTGGAGAGATGGCTCAGTGGTTAAGAGCACTGTCTGCTCTTCCGAAGGACCCAGGTTCAAGTCCCAGCACCCAGGTGGGAGCTCACAACTATCTGTAACTCCAGTTCCAAGGGATCTGACACTTTCACACTAATGCACATAAAATAAAGTTTAATTATTAAAGAAAAAAAAAGAATGGAGAGTGGCATGGCACAACATGGGAACAGTGACAAAGATGCTGCTGCTACTGCTTCCAAGAGTTCAGGAGACTCAGGGATTTGTCGAGGCATGCAGTACCTGGCACCACCACCAGATGGCAGGGCTTAGCCACAAGAACTAAGTCAGCCTAGTCAGCCCAGCATCTGCCATTGATGTTCTTGCAGAGGTTTCTAGAACAGACAGCAGTGGGGTCCTTCCTTTGGGCTCAGAGACTTTTTTTTTTAGGCCAGGCCTAAGTAAGGATTAGGGTTGAAGACTGGGCACTGACAGGGAGAGATGAGGAAGGGAAGTGACACGGGAGTTCAGTGCAAGAGCGTGGGCCATGTTCTGTGAATTATGAAGGTGATAGGAGGACCTTGGAAACCGGGTGATAACCTGGCGAGAGGGTACATAGAGGTACAGTAGGACAGTCCTCGGTGTGGTTTGTGCCACACGAGTCCCTGCACTGGGAGAAGAGGATTGCTAGCTGTCTCTGGAAGAGTCCAAACCTCCCTGATGGATTGGGAGTCTGGGCCTGGCATTCATGAGTTATAGTAGCATGTACCCATTGGAAGAACTTTGAATGCCGGCTTTAAACCTAAGGTCCCAAATGCTAGTGGCTGGCAACTCTGGGGCATGATACTTGAGGAGCAAATGGATGAAGGGCATTTGAGAGGACAAATGTTGAGTGTGATTCTGCTACCATGTGTGGTTGATGGACTCTGGTCGCTGGCACATGGATTTCCATGCCCACTATAGGGTGGGGAGGGGGTCAGGCCAAGGGGCCTACTTATGTAGAATTAGTAGAGGTGGAATCTGGTGCCGTGGTGCTGGAGGGGCCAGCTGGGACGTGAGATGAGAAGGGCCAATGCCATATTCTGGGCTGTTAGGACTGGAGCGCATCTAAAAGGAAAAGGCCCCCAAAGCACCCAGAGTGAGAACCTTGAGATAGGTGGGGGAGGGCAGAGCCAGGAGGAGAATGGGACCTCAGGAGGGCCAGGCAGGTGGAACAGTACAGAGGATGCAGAGGAGGGGCCTGTGTGTTTTCCAGGGAGTGGCTTGGTCATGGGCAGAAGGACAGCTCGGGGCTAGCAGGGCCAGGAGGTGTGTGGACTGGGGTGAGCACCAAGGCCAAGTGGAGAGAGTGCTTGCAATCCACAGGTTCCTCCGAAAGTGCTCAGTGGGTGTTTGCTGTATCCTTGCCTCTTGGGATGGAACTCCTCAGCAAGGCTGCAGGGTCATATTTCTCAGCTGTCCTGGTGTGTGTCAGAGTCCTGTGGGGACTTTGTACAGCCTGTAAGCACAGCCACTCCCTCCCGAGCTCCCTGCACAAGGCTGTGGCACCTGGTAGGAGTTCACACGAGAGCAAACTCACCCCTTAGCATTTGGGGCCACCCTGTGGGCAGGGAGGAGCACTTCTCGCTCTGCTTTCCAATACTGGGCTCTGGAGAGGTCTGCTCGAGTCGAGAGCCTTCCCAGAGAGCCCCATGGCTCTCTGAGGCTCCGCCTGGGAGGCTCAGCCTCTTCCATGCACACATGGTTCTGTTTGGAGACTCTCAGCACTGCGGTAGCAAGCCTCCAATTCTCTCCTAGTCTGGATTCCTAAGAAACCCAGGTGAAAGGTTTTAAGGCCAGAGATTCCAAGTGTCCCCTGGTGATGCTGGGTGGTTGCCAGACACTTCTGAGTAGCTCTCTGATTTGAGAGGCTGATGGGCTCCTCTAGAAGAATGTGGTTAGTGCTACTACAGTGTGCGTCCAGCTGGCTCCTTGCTCTTGGCTGGGTGGCTGGAGTAAGGCTTGCTCCAGCTTTGAGCTGCAGCATGTCACCAGCGCTGTTGTCTAAGGCTGGCTGTCCTCGCAGGCGAGGAGTTTCTTAGTTCTTGCCTATCACTGCAAGGGACAGCTCTGGTTTCCTAATTCAGTGAGAAGCCGCAGGGCTGGTGGAGCCCCGGGAGTGCCAGTTCCCATGGAGGTGGGTTAAGCGCCATATGCTCAGAGCCCACATTAAGACTGTTCAAGCGTCTGAGCAGCAGCCCCCACCGACCCCAAACCTGGGGATGTGCTTAGTGGTTTACAGGCATGTGCAGGTCCGTGATCCAGGCACAGGCCTGGGTGACCAGAAAGGATGGCCACACACACACACACACACACACACACACACACACACACCCGCCTCACCCACAGTGTGAGGAGTGTGAGGCTTGCCTCCAGTCACGCAGCTCGAAACCAAATCTAGCTCTTCAGTAGGAAGGGTCTGGGAATCTGCCCACTATTCCCACGCTGGGGCCCACACACTCTGGTGTTTTATTTACAAGGTTCCTGGGAGAGATGGGTTTTCTTGACTGGCTGTCAGCAGGCTTGGCCTAGTCATTTTCAGAAGTCTGAGTTGGAATTCTTAGTCCTCAGTTCACTGCTCACTGGTTCCTGAGAACATCTGTGCAGCCCCAACCTACCCAAGAGATAATTGTTTCCTTTTACCTAATTATGTAAGTCTGGGTGTTTTGCCTGTATGTATGTCTGTGTGCCAAGTGTGTGCAAAGACCAAAGAGGCCAGAAGAGGGCACTGGGCCCCTTAAGATTGTGATGAGCAGCTATGAGGGTGCAAAGCAGGACTCGGACCAGTATTCTTCAGAAGAATAGCTATTGACTGTAACCATTGAGCCACCCCTCCAGCGCTTGGGTTTTTGTTTTTAATGTGATGTTAGGGATTGAACCTAGGACTTCAAGCATGCTGTCACCAAGCCACGCCCCTAGTCTGCTTATAAAGGCTTTTTTGCTTTGTTTCTTTTGTGATTTAAAAAAAAAAAAAAATAGTATGTATGCACTGGTGCCTGCAGAGGCAGGCTAGGGTGTTGGATCCCGACACTAGGAACTAAACTCACATCCTCTACAAGAGCCATATGCATTCTGTTTCTGTTTTGTTTGTTTGTTTGTTTGTTTGTTTTTGAGAGAGGGTTTCTCTGTCTGTCTAGGACTCACTTCGTAGACCAGGCAGGCCTCGGAACTCAGGGATCTACTTGCCTCTGCCTCCCAGGGACTGAGATTAAAGGTGTGCGCCACCACACCCAGACTGCAGTACACATTAACTGCTAAGCTGTCTCTTCATCATGAAGGGCCTTTAAATGGCTTTGCAGCTAGCAGGATACTGTGTCCTTTACTTGGTGTTTTAAATTGTTCAAATTAATTAACTAACTAACTAACTAACTGAGAGTGTGTCTGTATATGTGACTGTGCCGTGGCACACTTGTGGAGGTCATAAGACAACTTTTGGGAGTTGGTTATTTCTGTCACGTGGGACCCAGAGATTAAACTTGGGTTGTCAATTTTGGCAAGCACTTTTTTCTCTGGTTCTACTTGGTGTTTTGAGACTGACTGTATTGATCAGGAGCAGTGCTGGCCAACACACCTCACTGTTTCCTACCACCCCAAAGTGCCCATTTATGTGAAGTTTGCAAAGAGGAGTACTTAGGATGTCCTTGCTGCTAGTATTAGGATATATTCAGGTATATTCCACACCCTTTGGGAACCCAGAGGCCACTGAGTCACTGGCAGTATGAGTTAGCATCACGAGGAGCCATGCTGGACACTTGGAAGTGAGCAGACCCCTTTGTGACAGGATGTGGAAATGGAGCTCAGCTCCATCACCATCTACCTCAGAGAGTTCTATCCTACTCAGCACCCAGGCATTCCCTGGGCCCCTTGGCCTCCCTGGATCCCATCAGGCCCGTTTGCCAAAGGCTTTTTCTTGTACACAAAATAATGTAGGTGGAAGGGATTGTATGTAGTTAAGTCTCTCTTCAGGTTATCTGCTGCCCACAAACTAAAGCCATTTTCTGGCGTTTAGGGACAGTGTCTGCAGGACCCCACTGGCTCCCGGTGACCTGTAGAAGCCTGCTGCCATGCATCTCTGACACTGACTTACAGTTCTCACTCTCAACCACAACCAGGAGCTCACAGCTATCAGATGATAGTCTGTGTTGTCCCTGATATCCGCCCTGAAGCCAAGGTGACTTGGATAGCTCAGGACTTCATAAAAAGTAGATTGTTCTAGGCAGTCACTGCTCCAGGCATTGTGAGGGGGGGTGCCCCCCTTGTGGGGCAGTTGAGTCTTGGGTGGGAATTTGATGCAGGGAGGGCTCTCAGATGAGACTTGACTAGATTGGTTCCGTCTCACCATCTCAGCAGAAGCAGAGTGAAGGAGACTGTGGCAGGGTAGGAGAGCAAGTGGGGAATAGCGGGGTCGGGTTCTGTGTCTGGGCTGTCCCCGGAAGCTCGACATGTCAGCCTCAGCCCTCCTTGGGAGTGGGTGGCTGTAGGAGTTGGGGACCCTGGCATTTGTAACAGAGTGGGCCTTCTGTTGCGCTTCCTCTGAGGACAGTTTTCTCTCAGGTAGGCCTGGGGGTGGGGGCCACACCATAGTGTTGTGTCCACACAGACTGCTGTCCTGGTGGTTCTGGGGAAGCTCAAAGCTCCCTGCGCGTGTCTCACCGTGCTCCACCTTTCTGCCCCTGGCTGTACCTCTGCTGTTTTGTCCTAGGTGGGGCAGGGGGGCCTTTACTCCAGGGCTGGCTAAGGGGTCTCCATTCAGTCTCCAGGAGTGGGCTTGCAGAAACCTTCAGCTCTCCAGGCTGCCTCCTGGTGCTGTGTCATTGGAACGTGTTGTTCAGATATAAATACCAGGTTACATAAAGCCTTGGCTGTCTCCCCTAAGTGTTCTTGAGAACATGTCTGCACACTCCCTGACACAGCAGTACACTAGTGTGGTTTGCATCTAAAAGGCTCCTTGTAACCCTCGTGGGCTCTGCTGTGGGCCTCGCAGAGGCGCCTGCATCCTCGCAGATGCAGGTGAGAGCCTGGGTTTTGAACTTGCCTCTTTATGGTGATGGTAGCTTGTTGGGGTCGTGATTAGCTCAGCTCCACTGGTTTCTTCACTAGGTCATTGGTAGTGAATTGGAAGCCCCTGGAACTTGCCTTTGCAGCAGCTGCCATGAGCAGGTCCATGTGTTGGCTATGATGTTGTTCCTTTACGTGGACCACCTGGGTCTGCCAGTCTCTACTAGCTCCATACTCAACTTGCCCTTCTACCTCAAGGAAGGGCTGTGTAGCTCTCAGGGGCTTCTGAGCAACCATCACAAGTAACCGCTTCCTCTCCATTTTCTGAGTTCCACTTGGTGCCAAACCCCAAGGCAGGAGTGAGAACTCCACTTGGCCTTTGTATGATGAAGGTTGTGAAGTCATGAGACACCAGATGGGAGTGGAGAGTGAACTGGTGTGAGGCTTGTGGTGCTTTGGAAGAACAAATGGAGGGGGCCCAGCAAGGAGTTTATCTTAAAATTCATCTCCCCAGAAAGCTTCCCAGGGGAGCTGACGTGAAGAGCTCTAATAACAGAGACAGGGCAAGGGACTTCTAGGCCCATTGGGAACAGGGGTGAAAAGGCTTCACAGGTGGGTTAGCCACCAACATTGGGGCGATGGATACTTAAAGAGTGAGGGATACCAGAATAGATGGTAGGCTGGGGTAGGGATGGTGGGAAAGGAGTCATGGATGGGGAGCTGCTAAATGGATAGAGTAGAAAGCACAGGGACCAGAGGAGAGGGATGTCTATGCTGGCACTAGGGTCTGAGGGTTCAGTTTGAGATTAGCTGGTAGCATTCGTATGCCAGCCCCACCAGTGCTGTGGGACAGATGGAGAAACTCCCAGTTCAGTCAGGGTGATTGTTCAGAATCAAAAGGCAGCCGGTGCGGAGACTAGGCTAGGAGGCCACGCCCCTCAAGCTCCTGAAAATCTCTGCGTGTTCTGCTTCCTGTTCTCAACACAGTCCTCTCCTGTATGAGCACACTGTGTTAGTATTTTGAGGGTTTCCCTGCAGGAACAATTCATCACTATATTGTGTGTCCTGTTCTTTTATAGCTTCACTGATGAGTGTCGTGGGGAAGAGTGAAGGATCATTTGGTCCTCTCTCTTGCTGTGTTTGTTTCTTCCTGTGCTTCCCAGTGCCTGTCGTTGGTCCCTGCCTGTAGACTGTGCCTCTCTCCTGGGAAATCTATGTGGGGTTCCCTATCTTGCCAAGCAATGGCTGTCCTAGCCTGGTCCCTGAGGACGATGCTGAAAGCACTGTTGACTCCCATCACCTGTCTCAGGCTTCAGCTGTGTTCTGTGGGCCTCCCAGCCAGCGCCTGATTGCTGTCCTTTCTCCAGTACACAGTGCAGCTGTGAATGCCCTCTCCTTCCACCCATCGGGAAACTACCTCATCACAGCCTCCAGCGACTCAACCCTGAAGATCCTGGACCTGATGGAGGGCCGGCTTCTCTACACACTCCATGGGCACCAGGTGAAGGGCATTGGCGTGGTGGGAGACAGAAGTACAGCTTGATACAGGTGCAGGGCTTTATCACCTGGGGGGCGTGCACTGGAGGGGCCTTCCATGGTTCCCTTTCAGCCTAGACAGTGCATGCAGTGAGACGCAGACACAGGCCTGGCACCTGCAGGAGCTGGTAGAGGTCCTTTTGTAACCTCGGTGATTGCTGGGGTTGAGCTTGGTGTGCCTGAGAAGGAAGTAGGGAACTAAGACTGGGGAAAGGTGTGGGCTGAGTGGAATCAGTCCCCTGAAGGGACTCTCTGGTCTGGTGGTTGAGTAGCACCCTGGAACCCTAATCACTATTAAAGTGTGGGGGTGCACTGATTCCCATGACCTCAGAGACAGAGACATGTTTTTCAGAGGTTGGGGCAAGAGAGGGAATCTGGATGTTTGTTTAAGAATTTTTGGCATTGAATCAAGGGAGCAGAAGCTTTCTTCTGAGTGGCTTCAAAGAGTGTCAGCTGTCGGTCCTCTCTGGTGGGTGGTGGCTAGTACAGGGCTCCTGTGGGTCATCTATAGAAGCTGGGTTGCATGTAGCTCTCAGCAGCATCTAGAACCAGGCCTCTCACGCACCCCCCACCCCTGACCAGAGAGTTGTGATGTGTAGCTGTGTAGACGTGTAGTTATGATGTAGCTTAGCAGATGTACTAATATGATCTGCTAAGCAGATCAGCGACCAAAGAGCTGTCTGTTGGAACATAGCCACCATGTGCAAGTGGGGTAAAGTGTGGGGTCCAGAGATTTTAAGTGTGTCCTTTTCTCCACCTGTGAGCTAGAAGAAGAAATAACACGTAAGCAGGTGCCTACCAAATGATGGTCTAGACTTTCCCTCTTTTTGTGAGAGTTCTTTAAACAGTGGACGTTTCTCTCAGCCCAGGGACACTTCAGTGTGAATTGCAATTCTTAGTGTCCTGGTGCATTATCCGGCACATAAAGGCAAACCTGTTGACATTGTTCTCCCCACATCTGTCTGTTACCTGCTCCCTGCTCTCTGGGTCACAAAGGATGCAGACAAAAATGAAGGTTGTGGTCCTACTCTTCAGTGCTCACAGCCTGGGCTGTGGTGTACTGCACTTAAGGCAGAGGAGACTAGGAAGGGCAGGATGGGTCTTCCAAAGTGCTCAGACGGTTGGGTAAAAGTGGGTGGGCTCTGCCTGCCTCCCACGGGGTTGCTTAGCTGAAGGTGATAGTCAGAATATATGGTCCAAATATTTTTCTCTATTCGTCTTCTAAGCTCCCTATCCAATAAAAAAAACGGGATTGTTACCCTACGTTTTACAAGTTGCTCTTCTTGAGGTCTATGGTGCCCAGCCCTTTTGGGGGGTTCTGCAGGCCCAGAGTCTACCTAGGCTTGGCTTCCTCAGAGCTCTGCAGGCCAATCAGGAAGCCACGCTTTGCTGGCTCTGCTCCAGGCTCATGTTTCCTGTAATCCTTGCTCTTTCTAGAGACACTCATTCTTGGTCTGTGTCCTTCCTCTTCAAGGTCCTTCCTGAGACCTGTGCCCTCACAGCTGGTTGTGGCCACTCAGTGCTGTTCTCCATACCTAGTTTCCTTGTCCTTTGCAGTGTGGGGCGGCTGCTTTGAGCTTTCTCTTAGTGCTTACTAACATTGTAGCAGTGGCTTCTGATTTGAGAAGTTGAGTATCAGGGCTGAGGCAAGGGAGTGAATGTGCAGGTCAGAGCTGAACAAGAAAAGAAATAAAAAAAGAAAGAATATGATTGCTTCTAGGTATGGTGGAGGAGAAGGTTTATTGTAGACAAAAGAGAGCATAGCCAGAGATAGGAAGATCTGGGAGAGTCCAGAGTGAACATGACCCTGAGCCAGGCCATGTGAAGGGAGGTGAGGTGAGAGCAAGGAGAGTAATGGGTAGATAACAAGGGCCAGGTAACCAAAATGGCTGGATTATATAGGGAAGGGCAGCCAGCCTTTGTGCTGGAAAGTTTAGGGTATGCCAGCCATACCCTGTAACAGGTAGGGACTGAGGGATGCTGGGAGAACCCGGAGGCTAGGTCCACTTTGATATTTTAAATAGGCACCTGGGCCATTTGTTAGGGTTTGAGATCTAACAAGGGGTGCTTGAGCCTTATTTACCCCAGCCCAGTGTAGCTCATCCTCTTAGCTCCGCCCTGTTTGGAGGTTCAGCTTCCCAAAAGGGAGAATGTTACATGTGAACAGCCTGGATTATCTGGTAGATGGTTAAAGCAAATCCTACCAGCTGGACAGAACTCTTTGTGCTCATGGAGAACTGAGACCAAGAGTGGAGTCTGATCCGCTCCATCCCTGGCGGCTGTGCTGTGCTGTGCTGTGCTGTGCTGTCTGTAAGTTTGTCAGCTGCTACCAAGCAGGTTTGGTTCAGCTCCAGGAAGAAGTTCTCTGTTCTGTTCTCTGGCTGAGTCCTCTAGAGGGTCTAGCTGGGAGCCACATTGCAAGAGGTCTGTCGACCATTGGGTCCCAGTCCCTCATTTCCTGCCTTGATCTTCTGGAAGAAGTGCAGGTGGACTCTGGTGACTTGAGCTTTCATATGCTGTCCCAGGAGGGATGAAGAACAGCTGTTAACAGCCCCTCCCAGCTTTGTGTGGCTTAGCAGCTCTAGGGCTTGCAAGTGGTTCTGTCCTGTAGATAAGCAGTGTGGCAGATTTGAAGACACTAGAGAACAGGTGACACCGAGAGCCTTATGGACTGCTCAGGACAGCAGAGCTGAAACAAACACCCATATCACAGTTTCTGCTGCGCCCACTTGCCTGTCACACATGGCAACATTTGCGTTGCAGTTTTACCCTTGGTTCTGCATCACTGGTCTGGATAAGATGCCAGCGAGCCTCATGGCTGCCATATTCCTACTTTATTACTGTGTGACACTGTTCCGGCCTAGTAGGAGGGAGACCCCATGAAAGTAGCTTCAAGTTTAGAAATCCAACCACTGCCAATCCCCAGGTCCCTAGAAAGCTGCCACAAGGAAGTCCACTAAGCATTTTGGCAAATGGCACCGCAACTTCCTTACGCTTCCATTTCCATACGTGTGGGACGAGGACCGGCATGGTCTGCGGGTAGAGCTTTGGGGAGGTCAGCCTCATAGTCATACCAGGAGGGAGGGGGTGTGCATGCTGGAGAGCTGTGCCTTCCTGTCCTGTCAAGGCCTAAGGGAGCCCTTTGGGGGAGACTGTAGGGGAGGGTTCCACATAGGAGGCAGAAGGGTCAGGGCTACAGTGCTTTGGGAGAGTTTCTTATCTGTGTTGAGGTCACAGCTGCCTTGATTCATCTTTCCATTGTTTCATTGGGCACGAAGGCCTTAGCATGAAGTAACTTGACAAGTACCAGGATGAACTCAAGATTACCTTGGATTTCTTGGATTGGACCTGTGTCCCAATCGGATGTGGAAGGCAGGTAACAGCCATGGAGTCTGACCATGTGGCAGTTTAACCATTCTCTGGTGAACGATGGGCCAGATTTCCCAGTGGCCCACTTGAAGGGAGTTATTGTGCAGCAAGAGGTTTGATATAGGGCGAAGGACCCCCATTGTGAGGCTAGAGTCTCTATGGAGTGAGGGGCTCATACTGTGGGCTAAAGAACTTAGTTTTGGGTGAGTGGCTTACTTTGTTGAGCTAAAGGCTTACCTGTGGGTTATGGGGCTTTCAGTATGTAGTGTAGCCCACTCCGTGGGCTAAGCTGGGTTGCTTAGCTCCACTTTTTGTTTGCTATAACAAAATGCTTTAGAATACAGGCATGGTAGCACACAGTAGCAATCCCAGCATTTAGGAGACTAAGGTGAAAAGTTTACAAATTCAAGGACAACCTGGGCTACATAGTGAGCTGTTGCCTCAAAACAACAGCTTATAATAAAAGAAATGTCCCAAGTTGGGGAACTGAAGATCAGAAGTTGTTTCCTTGTGCTCTGGAGACTGGGCGGTCCAAAATCCATATGCTGCCTTTCGTGAGGGTTGTTGCTGCTCTCTGCTTTCAAGATGGCACCTCCATGCTGCCTCCTTCTGAGGAAGAATCCTGTCTTGTGATCCACCTCAAACTTAGCAGATAACAGGCGGGCAGAAGCCATTCTGTGTTCAAGTCCTTCCATAAGAGCACTTATCCATTCATAAGGCAGAGCCTGGTAACTCAATTTCCTCCTAAAGACCATACTTTGGAATACTGCTGCTTTGGGACTAAACTTTAACATGAATTTTTAGAAGGAACAAAAACCTTCAAACCATCGGAGGGATAGAAGTTGGTGAGTTTATTGTAGGCATAAAGATTTCTGGTGTTCTCATGTGGGCCTGGCCTTGGAACTCAGGTTCACATAGGTCCACCCTAGAGTTCATGTTGCTTGCCTGCCCCAGGGTCATGTGTGGCCAGCTCTTCTGCCCTTCTGTAGCTACATTGCTGAGTGACATGGCTGACAGGCTGAGTGCGTGAGTTCTTTGCTGGCTTGGACTTGCATGGGCCCTGGCCCTTCATCACTGTGTCTCAGCTGGGAGGCTCAGCAATGGTGGGAGGCAGTGGGCTGTCTCTAAGCCTCTACATGCAGCCCTGAGTGGACACTGCCACTCTTTTGGTCAGTGGATCAGGTCATCTCCTGAGAGGACCCTGCCCTGAGTCTGAGGCTTGGGGGTGGGGGTGGGGTCTGCCACTATGGTGGCAGTTAAGCAGGAAGGAAAGAGTCCCAGCTTGTCGCTCCAAGTAATACAGACTTAAGGAAGTGAGAGCTGTAAAGGAGCTGGCGTGCGCCCCCTCATTTTACATCAGGGAACACCGGCAGGAGAGGGAAGGGCTTTCCCACCAACTGCAGCTGTCATTCGAAGCCTGTGCCCTGAGTTGGGCCCTCACAGATCCGTGTGGCAAGTATAGAGGCAAGTGTTAGAAACACAGATTTATTTTTCTGTATTTTCTGAAACATAGTCAAGCCATGCTCATTTGGTTTAAGTCCCCTAGAGCTATTTGGGAGAGGATGGTGGGTGGGCTGTGGGCAGAGAGTTAAATCTGGTATTAGTGGCAGTGCAGTCGGTATGTGTGTTACTGCAGTGTCCCTGTGGAGTGGCTGAGCTGCACACCATCCTGCCAGCGCAGGCATCTGCCCTAATGTGGGTGGGAATACTTGCCACAGGCCTAGACACGGACAGAGGCTGCTAGCTGCATTTAGAGGCAGGATCTTGGTTCCTGGGGGACCCACTAATGTGTTCTAGACACTTGGGCCATCCCAAACCCTAGGCTGAGACTGGGGAAGTGAAGGAGCGGAAGTTTGGGTGTGCTGGTTGCCCCTGGGGCTTCAGCAGTGGAAATGAGTTTCTAGAATGTATCTCTTCTCCCTGTGTTTTGAGTGCACTCAGCCCTTGTCTAGTCACTTTGTTTTGGAGGAGTATTTTGATAGTCAGCAGGGTCTTACCTGGGATTGGTTGGACTCCTGGGAATTGTAAGGGGCCATGAAGATGAAAAGTAGTAGCGTCTGCTCCACTAAGAAACCCAGAGTCATTCTGGCCGTCTGTCACCTTCTAGCAACCCAGAGTTGAGAGTTGGGAGCATGTCTTCTGGGTTAGGGTTGAAAGAGAGCCTTTCTGTCCCTGGGCAGCGCCTCCTACACAGTTACAGTGTCCCTGTGGGTCACCACTTGGATGTTCAGACGCCTGGTGGGCTGGGCTGAATTTCAGCACACAGAGCCAGAAGCCAGAGCATCCACACCAGAAGTCTCTTGGCCTCCACAGCCACCACCTCTCTGATGGCCACTCTGCCCTTTCTCCTACTCGGGGAGCATGTGATGTAACAGCCCTGTTTTCACGGGTACGTGGTGTATCAGGGTATCTGGATAGACTTCGACCAGCACAGGTGTTAGGCACCATGGTCAGAATTCAGGTGCCGCAGAGTCTGGCAAGCGAGAGGAGAGTGCCGAGGTCTGGACAGACTGCTTAAGGGTAGCAGAGTGTGCGATCCAAGTTAACCGCCATGGACTTCCCTGTTTTACCTGCCTGCATGTCTTCCCTCCTTCCTTCCGTCCTTTTTCTTATTTCACTGATGCTTACTGTTTAAAGGAAATGGACAAGGAACTGGCCAGATGGCTTATGGGTAAAAGCCCTTGCTGCCAAGCCTGCTTAACTGAGTTCTATGCCCTTGGGAGGGAAGAACTGAGCAACACCCCTGCCTGGAGCTGGGCTCCAGTGCACCAGGCGTGGTTAATCAAATGAAAGGAATGGGCCTCCATGAAGCTAGAGCATATGGCATTTGATCTCTGACACCGACAGAAAGGAACTCCCCAAGTTCCTTTGACTTGGAAACCTCAGATTCATTCACCTCTAAATAACCGATAGCCTGAAGAAGTTGAGTCCAAACCGACAATTCAGAAGGGAATGACAGTGAAAGCGTTGCAGACCGGAAACTTCCGGGATCTGGCTAAGGTGGTGTCACAGACAAATATGTAGCCTTAAATTTATTTAAAATGAAGGAAGAATGAAAATGACTGATGAGCTCAATGTTGGAGGCTCCAGGGGGAACACTGAGAAAGAGACCTTTTTTGGTTCAGCCTCTGAGGAGCAATGAACAGTCGAGTAGGCTAGAACTTTGGTGAAGGAAGGAGAGGGCCTGGTAACATTAGCAGAGGCTGGCTTGTCAGGCCTGAGAGCCCAGACCCAGAGCGCATCAGCATGGGAGAGCCTGGTCTGCATAGTCGGCCTAAGAAACATATCATGTGATTTTGTCATCAGGCAAACATCATGGCCTGTACTGTTATAAACTGAGGTGGCTATAATGGCACGGTGCTGTGATCTGATGGGAGTACAGGCTGTTTGCCCAGGCTGTTTGCTTGGGCTCTGGGCACCCTAGCAAAAGCCTCCGCTGAGCGTTCTTCTTTCTAGGAATGCAGAGGGTCCTGGTTGCAGGTGCTTTGCAGTCCTCTTGGTAGACAGGCTCTTCCTGGGAGGAGTGTAGGCCCCACAGAGTCTCCAGGCTGCTTGCTCAGCCCTGAGTGTCCTGAGAGACTAGTCTCTGGGGAAAGCCCCATAGCTTCAGCACCTGCCCTCTGGCCCTGATCCCCCTGTAAGCCGCATGCATCTCTTCGTCAGTCTGCTGCTGTCAGTGCTGACATCTTGTTCCCAGCTTGGCATCTGGTGGCTGAGTGATGACAGGAAGGGGAGTGAGCCACCAGTGTGTGTTTGCTGCCTTCACTGCTGGCCCATTCTGGAGCTCTTCCCATGAGCTCTCGGTGGGAAAAGGGCCTGTCTGCTTTTGAAACTTTGTGTACTGGTTTCCTTCCCTTTTTTTTTCCCCTGTGTTTTTCCTTCAAAATGAAAAGCATTTTGTTGTCTTTTTTTTTTTTTTTCTCCAGCATTATTGCCTTACATCCATTAAAAACTTTCACGTATGAAAATGGTCAAGATTGTCAAGAATCAGGTGGGGTCTTCGAAAGTGTATCGCCACCCTCCATGAGCCTTGTAACCCTTTGCCAGCTCTCCACTGGAAGGGACATTCCCTACTTCCTGTCTCTGCACATGCAGCCAGTGTTACTCAAAATGGAGTCACATGGTCCAGGATGCCTTGCACCTGGTATTTGACACTCACTGTTCATGGATGTGCATGGGTGTTGTTCCCTATCAGCAAAAGTGGGTCCACTTTATCTTGGTTAATGGTATCTTAGAATTCCCAGGGCTGCTGGGGGTAGGGTATGCCTGAGTCTGTGTCTCCACTTGTGCAGAGAAGGGAGGTGACAGGCAGACACAGGCTTAGTATTGTGTCCTCCTGGGCTTTGTTTCCACCAGCCTGGAGTGGTTGAGGCACACACTGTCCTCTGGGGATTATATGAGTTAATACAGGTGCAGGGCTCTCAGCCAGCGCCAGCTGATGCGGGGCTCTTTGTGTCTCTCACTTCATCCCAAGCACCTCTGAGAGGAAGAACTAGAAGTGGATTCTGGAAGCATGAGCAGGCATGCACCCTCCCAACACATGTGCCCGAGCCTGGGAAGCACTGCTTGCCCTGCCTGTCTCCTGGGGGAGGAGAAGCTGCTCATGGCTGTGAGGTCCCTTTCCAGCCTAAGCCAGGCTGGTCCTTTCTAGCACCGAGTGCAGGGTGTTTCCCTGGGTTCCCCTTGTCGCCAGCCCAGGCTCTGTTGCTGAAGAACTCCTGTGGGCCATTCTTGTTACACTCTGATGGTCCAGAGGAACTAAGGTGACCTTTGTGATGGACGTAAGAGAGGACCTTTGGCCTGGTTTTGCCTGCAGAATGCCAGGTACTGGTTATGGTAAACATTCAGCTGAAAGGAAGGAAGATAATATGTATCTTTTGGAATGGATTCCAAGCATATGGGGAGGACTGTTCTTTATCTATTGGGAGATCATGATCTCTCAACTGTGGTGTGCTTGTTGGAGAACGCTGCATAGCAAACACTTGACAGTCCCCTTCTGATGGCAACTCTGACCTTTTGTACCTAGGAAGCTAAAGGAACACATTACCCTGCTAGGTCCAAACTTAAGGCATGCACGTTGCTGGGACATCGGTGTCAGTTTGGTCCACTCCCCAGGCACCTGCAGTGATTCCCTCCCTACCCAGGTTCCTTCCTGTGCTCATGTCCCTGACTTCACCTTTTTCATTCGAGCCATTGGCTTCTCTTTGGGGCTCCCACTTCTCTGGACTGCAGAAGGCAGTATTGGGCCTGCATCAGAGAGCTGAGTGCTGATCTTAGACTTCCTGCTTCTCACAGGATAGCCATGGATATGGTGCCAGCCTGGCCAGACTGCTGATGTGACTATCCTACCCCCTCCTCTCTGCTCACCCTTGATCCCACAGCCTGGCCTCTGCTGAGATGTTTGGAAGATGAGGCCCAGCAGTGGTTCTTGTACCCGTCTGCATGCAGGCTTCCTGGACAAAGGCCAAGGAGGATTGGCTAAACAAGTGCTCACACCTGTGTCTTACTGCTGCTGTCCTTCAGGAGCTATGCATTTAGACTGACCTTTTGGGAGGGGATTATAGGGTGTGTGTTGAGATAGGCTCTTATATACACCAGACTGGCCTGGAATTCCTGATCTTCCTGCTTCCACCTCCAAGTCCTGGGATCATGGGTGTGCCACCATGTCCAGCTGACCTTTGGTGTTTGTTCTGTTTGTTCTGCTAGGGTCCTGCTACCACTGTTGCCTTTTCAAGAACGGGGGAGTATTTTGCTTCTGGAGGCTCTGATGAGCAGGTAAGAAAGAGTGGCCTAAGGAATCTGAGATGTGATCCCTCTCAGAACCCCACAGGAGGCTGGAGGCCATCTGGAGATGGGTTGTGGTGGCTTTCAGTGATTACAACCAGGATGAAGACACTGATGGAGCTTGGGGTAGGGGTGCTCAGGTCCAAGGCATTTGCTGTCTCCAAGCAAGTCTCCTTCAGGGATGGCCTGCGGAAGTGTCTCAGACTTGAATGGGTTGGAAGGACTTTGAGTTCATTATCATGGTGAAAAAGTTGAAGAGTTTCAGGGTTTGTTTGGTTTTTGGTTTTTTTGTTTGTTTGTTTGTTTTGTTTTGTTTTGTTTTGTTTTTCCTCTCCCTGGTTACAGAAACAATGAAGAATTACTGGATATTTACTGCAGATGTGGTAATGTCATCAGTGTGGGAAGAATTTCATAGCTGATTTAGTTCTCCTGAGTCCTGTGGGACGAGTCTTCCTAATTTGTTCCTATAGATGGGAAAACAGCCCCAGCGGGTAGCAGAGATGGGACAAGCATGGGGCCCTCTGACTGCTGAGTCTTCTACCTTGAGGGCTTCTACTCCATTCTCTGCTGCCTTTTGCTTCCCAGCCCACTGCATGTTTAAAGGGTCAGCGTTTTCTGTATCATTGGCTGTAGAAAGGAAGTTCTGTTCCACCTCTTCACCCTTTGCTTCATCCTGTCAGCCATGTGCCTCTTTGCCCAGACTGCTAAATGCCAAGGGCTTATCTGCTAGGGGAGGGGAGTGCTCTGACCTTGGTGTCTAGCTCTAAGCCTGGCCTAGGAAAGGTGTGGAGCACTGAGAAATGCACCCATCAGCAGTCCCTCAGAGGATCCGCACAGTTCCTTTTGTCCAAAACACTGTGGAGGGAAGAGTGGTGGCGGTGAACACTGGTGACCTGGTGGACCGCTGAGAACACTTACTCTCTCGGTGCCAGCCCATCAGTTCTGGCTGCTCCGCCTAGACAAATCCTGTACAACCTTCCCCGAGTCTGCGCTGCAGTAAAATGTGCCGAGGCTAGCTAAAGGTTCTCTGCCCACAGCCCGGACAAGAGCCAGCATGTATCTTCCCATCCCAGCACTAGGTCGTAGCTAGCAGCCAAAGAGGAGGAAGGTACCAGAGAGCCTTGAGCCTCCAATGACTGTGAAAGCGGGAACTATGTGGCAGGGGCTCATGTTAACTGTGTAGTCCCTGTACATGCTAAACAGCCATGGGAAAACCAAGTCACACAGCTCAAGGGGCAACCTGGGGGAAAAGCTTCCATTTGCTGTGGCCATCCTCAGACAACGAGGCTGTCAACTCTGTAGACTTTCTACAATTTGCTCATGTTTTTCTGGGGTGACATTGGTGTTATCTCTGCATTCACGCTGGCCGCTCAGCTGCTGGTAATGTTAAGTCTCCACAGTTATGCAAAGACCTTATATGTGGGATATTTATATATGTGCCAACATTCTGTTTGTAAAGTGGTAAATGAGCTAGCCCATGTGCCCATCTCTCTGGGAGCTTTAAACAGTGTGACGGCTCAAGGAGTGGTGAGGAGCCTCCTTAAGAACCACGCATATTACTGTGTCCCAGTAGGGTCTGTCTAGGGCACATCAGGACTTCACCTTGGGTGATATAATGGTAGTGTGTTTGGTTTGGTTTGGTTTGGCTTGGTTTTTTATGACCTCCATTGTCTCCTGGTTGTGGTACATGATTCCTCCTCTGATATCTAAGCTAGCCACCCTGAAAATAGCCCTAGATACACTGGCCTCCTATAGCTTCTAGCCACCAGTAGGGAGTGCTCTTGCTTCCTGACAGGGTGGAAGCAAGAGCTTCCAAGCTTTGTGGAAGCACCTTCAGTCATTATCCTGTTTAGGGAGGCACTGAGTGTGGATATTTATTTCCTTGGAATTTTTTGATATTTATTTTTGCATCTTTAACTTTTTAAAAAATGTGAATGGGTGTCTTGCCTACATGTATGTTTAGTTTTGCTTATTTGTTTTGAGGTAGGTGTGGTGCTGGGTGGCTGTAGACCAGCCTGGCCTCAAACTCAGAGACTCACTTGCCTTTACCTCCGATGCGTGTGCTACCATACCTGGCTAAGAGTGTGTTTTTATTGAACTCATTAGGCTTAGGATAATGAGTGTATTACTCTCCACTCCCTGGTGCCAATGACTGTGTCACACTATGTCCTGGGAGGTGGGAGCTGGGATCTTTTACAAAAGAGGGCACAAGGCATAGGCAGAATCCCTCACTGAGGCCTCATGGTAAGGGCTTGGAGCCAGGACACCAGTCCCATAGTGTGGTCTGGAATTTGTGCTCACCACTTCCCACAATGTTATGGACAAGTCACTGCCCTTAAGAGCTTCCTTTTTGGAGAGACAGATGATAAACAAGGTCAGGGAACAAATGAACTTAGCAGAGATTCTGACTTTAGAATCTCTGACTCTCAGGTAGAGGGACAAGCAGGTGCTAAGATCTAACTGTGCTACGTGGTGGGTGGTACCCTGTCCTGGTGCCACATGCACCAGACCTGTCCCCAAAGCCTTTTCCTCAGGGATGTGGTGCAGGTCCCAGAGTTGAGTTGGGGTGTCTGTCAGATGGGAGCCACTGTGGCTCAGAACTTTAGGGTTAATTTCTGGGTCCATTTTCTCCCTTCATTCTCTGCCTGTTGCTCTTGGCAGGTGATGGTTTGGAAGAGTAACTTTGATATTGTTGCTTATGGAGACGTGAAAGCACAGAGGCCTCCACCCCTGGCCAGCTCTGCTGGGAATCTGGTAAGTGGCTTAATAGTCAAGGCTTGAGCCGTGTGACTCTGGGGTAGTCACAGCGACCATCACTGGGCTTGGAGGTGAGGGGCCCTGGTAAGGTCTACCAAATAACATTTTGCCTTGACTCCAGCCTAGAGTGAACAAATGAGACATGAAGGCTGCAGAGCAGCGGTAGGGTCCAGGACCCTGGCCCTTTGGTGGGGAGTGTTGTCATGGCGCATGCTGCTGTTAGAGTGAGGCAGAGGCAAACAAAGGACCCATCCTGTGTCATTCCTGGATCACAGGACCCAAGTATACTCGTTCCTAGAGGCTCAGGGCCCAAAGCCTCAGCTGGGACGAGACTCTGGGAAAGACACTGGTTTGGTTGTTCTTTTTTTTTCCCCCCTTAAACCATGGAGAGGAAGTTTCTCAGCCACAAACCATTTTTAGCACCTTTGTTGGTAAAAGGGCATTCAGTGTTCCTGAATAAAAATAACTATTTTTGTAAAAATAAATATTTGGGAGAAAAATGATAACTGATAAAAGCTCGTTAAATAAACCCATTTTCAACTTTGGTTGAAATAAGTCAAGATTGTAGGATCTCAAACATTTTTAGCTTCTATGGTCACAGACTGTTTAAAAATCTCTCTTCCTTGGACCTAAAGAGCACCGTGGCCCCCCAGGCAGGAGGAAATGGGCCTGAACAACAGGAAGCGGCTCGCCCAAACCCCCAGCAAGTCAAGGCTGGAACTCAGAATAGAACCAGGAAGCCTCCTAGTCTGTCCTGGGCTTGCTGGGCCTGAATCTCTCCTACCACGTGTTTCCCCGGTCTGTACTAAGCTTGCCTCGTCGCATTGCACCTACCGTTTTCTCCCAAGGATCTCCCCCTGGATTGGCCACTGTGGCTGGAGGCTTTATTTCTCCTCAGGGTTTGCTAACAATCCCTGAGCTATGGGCCAGTTGGGGCTCTCTGGGTTGCACTGACATTCTCCTTTCTGCTGTTTCCTTTTCTACCTAGAAGGCATTTTGAACCAGAAGGCTGGAACCCTGTGTGGATCCTGCCCTCTCTCCTGTGACTCTTTAACTATTGGGCACTTATGGCACAATCAGCACTGCCAAGACCTATACATGTGTTCATTGCTTGCAGAGTGAGTGTGTGGTTCTTGTTCTAGTTCTCAGGTAGACTCTCAGATGTAAGCATGCTGTCTCCTCCAAGCAAGGCTAAGTAACCGTGCTGGGGACCGCCAGTGGCAGGAGCTGCTTGACAGCTCTTTCCTGTCCTAGGAAGGTACAGCTATCTGCCCCTTGCGAATGGTGGTTATTCATCAGGTGGAAGAAAAGTCATTATTGTTATTATTATTAAAAAGAATTTCATACAAGTCTTGAGCATATTTCTCCCAACCCCCTGCTCTTCCCTTTCTCTTTCTTCCCCTCCTGGTAGTCTTCTTTGTTCCTACACAGTGTCACTTCTCTCATGTCATATATCTGTATACAGGTTTATGAATCTATATACAATCTAGGAACCACAAACAAGCATTCAGTGTCTGTCTTCTGAGACTGGAGTGATGCCCTGCCTACTGGCATCTCTGGCGGCATCCGCCTGCCTGTAGACAACATAACTTCATCTTTTAGTAACTCAGCGGTTGGGAGCGAGGCTGCAAGTGTCTCTGTGGCACTCTGACTCAGAGCTCCTCCAGGGAGTGCCCACCAGCATACCCGGTAGCTGAGCGGCAGGTCTACTTTTGGTTGTTAGAGAAGCCTCCACTCTAACTTCCACAGCGGCTCCTACATTTCCACCAACAGGGTGTAAGTGCTCCATTTTCTTGACATCCTTGCCAACAATTGTTTCTGTCCTTTTCTTTTTCTTTTTTTTTTGGCGGGGGGGTTGTTTGTTTTTTTGAGACAGGGTTTCTCTGTGTAGTCTTGGCTGTCATGGACTCGACTTGTAGACCAGGCTGGCCTGGAACTCACAGAGATTCACCTGTCTCTGCCTCCCTGAGTGCTGGGATTACAGGCGTGCACCACCACACCTGTCTTGTTTGTTTCTTAATGGCTGCAGCTCTTGACTGGGCTGAGATGAAATTTCAGTGCAGTTCCGATGGCTAGTGAGGCGGCCTGTATTTTTTTTTTCTTATTTTTTAGTTATTAGGAAAACAACTTGGACACGCTGCCCCACTCAGAATATCACCTTGTTCCCCAGAGCTTCAGAGCTGCAATCACATGGGTAGAGAAAGCTACCCATGACATGATGGGGCATTAGCCAGTAAAGGGCTCAACAGGACTCAAGGTAGTCAGCTGTCCCCAAACTACTTTGAGGCCCATATCAGGGCTTTTGTTACACCCCTGCCAATGCAGGGCCCTACATGGGACTCAAGCAAGGGACGGGATATGGGTTCTGGTGTCATGGAGCTGGCTGTGACCCCTCCTGGGTAGCCCTGGATAAAGCACCTCATTTCCCCAAGCCTACATTTCCTCAGTGGGTTCAGAGTACCCCGCAGGCAGGATGAGTGTGCCTGAAGTAACGCAGCAATCTTAGAGCATTCTTGGTTGAAATAGCAACTCTTTGTCATAAGTCCCATCTAGAGCCTTGGCCTTCTAGACACCCCACCACACACACACACACACACACACACACACACTCCTAATGCTGCCTGAGAGGTTTTTCTGAAAGAAAAAAAAAGACAAAGGCCAGGGTATTGTTATGCCTGGTTTTATTATGGGGGACATATATGGATATGGATATTATATATATGATATATATTAATATGATAAAAATGACAATTTTAGCCATATTTCAGTGTCTGTCTTAGTAAGCCATCACCATCCACCTCCACCATTTTTTTTTTTTTTTATCCTCCTAGGCTAGAAACAGCTTATTTCTGCAAAACTATACCAGCTAAATTCTCTCCTGAGGCAGGAAGAGGAGATGGTTGGTGTGTTCTCAACCTTCTTTCCAGAGCCTTTTCTGGCTCTCAGATAACCTAGCTGGCAGAGTGCTTTGCCCCTCAGGGGAGCCCAGGAGCACTGCTCCATCCTGTGAACTGAGTCAGACAAGCTCCCACGCTTCATTTCTGCCCATATCCCATCCTTCCAGTAACCCTAGGCTGCTCAACCTCGGCAGTTTGCATTTGGGGCAAGTAGTCTTTGAGAGTTTGCTGTCCCGTGTGCTGTGAAATCTTTAGCATCCCTAGTCTTTACCCAGTAAAGATGCTGCCATAAGCATCCTGTTCCCCAGTTGTCATGACCAGAGATGTCTTCATATACTGTCAGGTGTGACCGCTGAGAATCACTGCAAAACCTCCTTCAGGAGGAGCTCAGAAAGAAGGCAGTGGGAGGAGTATGGAGAGGGAACTGAGGGAGCCTGCTCCAGGAGCCTGTGCAAGGACCCCACTCAGTTGTGTCAGTTCTGGATTCCCACCAGGACGTGTGGATCAGAGCTCGCAGATGGTTTCTAGTAGTCCATTTTGTAAGAATGCTGTTTGGCCTGTCAGATTTCAGGGTCTCCTAGAGCTGTCGGTAAACAATAAGAAAAGACTTCACATTGAGCAACTTGCTTTTCTTCATATTGGATGTTTCTTGTCTTTCCTGGCGGCCAGGGTGGTTTGACTACTACAGTCATGACCCAGTTGTGCTGTCACTCTGATGTCCTTTGCCCCTTCATCTCTGTCTCTAAATCACCTTAGGCGCTGAGACAAGGTAGGCACTCCTGGGTGCTTGGGGTTTTCAGGGAGTTCGTGGGGCCAACCAAGTATGGTGTGGAACTTGGACCATGTGCTTCCTCCAGTGTGGCCATTGGAAGCCAGAGGGGTAGACCTCACCTGGACCCCCTGCTGCTCCCCTACTGGCAAAGACTGTGAGCCTGTAGGGGTCCCTTCACCCTTGAGCCCCCCCATCTGTGATCCCTTCTCTGAACGTGACGTTTCAGCTTTCAGATCTTGGAATGAAGGCTGTCCTTAAACTCACTCCAGGCACAGCTCTGTTCGCTGCAGAGCTATTTTCAACCTCTGGTTGAGATTCACAGCTTATTTTTAGGCACATTTCATGTTGAAAAGCAAAAGCCATTTCCCAGCCATTCAGAATGAGAATAATGGGTACCATTTTCCCTCTGTTCTTGGCTGAGTTGTACAAAGGAGGGATTTCAGGGCTCGTGGCTGGGGCACTTTCTCTGCTTGGAAGGTTGTACATGAAGGATTCCAGGCCATGCTGTGGGTTGAGAGTGGGCAGAAATCTCTATGCTCTGCCCTGGAAGAAGGTTGGAAGAGCTACTTTTGGGCAGATGAGTGCCTCCTGGAGGGGTATGGGTGGGTACCCAGGGGCTTCTCTGGAGCAGGTACTTGTATTGGTGTTCCAGGGGTCTAACGCTTAGCCTTGACCCTTGCTGTAACCCTGGCCTTCTCCCCTCTATTCTTCCCTTCCTCTTGCTGTCTGTACTTGAGGGTCTGTCCCCTAGGCAGAAAGACCCTGCATGATTTTGGAGTTAACATCTTGCCCAACCCAAATCTCGGCTTCTGCATGACAGATTTTTCCCCCCACAGCTGAAGTGCTTTTAAACTTTATTTTTTTTTGGGGGGGGGGGGGAGTGGGGGAAGGCACAGGGTCTCACTATGTAGACCAGGCTGACTTTGAACTCGGAGATCTGCCTGCCTCTTCCTGCATACTGGGATTAAAGGCATGCACCAGCGTGCACAGCCTTTTAAGCTACTTGTAATTAACAAAGATGCATTTCTTTGGCTCTGCCTTTATTTTGGCCACAGTGAGAGGCCCGTTATGCAATTGAGAAGCTGTACTAGGTGGGCTGGAAGGGGAAGAACACCAAGTCCTAGCTAGTTCAACGAAACTGACAGAGAGAAAAACCAACCCACTTCCTGGGTTCTCAGGGTTGGCTGCTCCGGGTTAGACATTAACCTTGATCTCTAAGGCTGAGGGCTTTTCTTCGCTCACCTCTCAAGATTGCATTTGAAGGAGAAAAGCTCACCCTTGGTTATGTGCTTGGCTTCTGGCTTCTGCCCAGCTGTGATTGAATCCTT